GGAGGGCTGAGCACAGAGCCTGGGCGGCCCCAGGGCTCTTGGCTGCTCCCCAGGAAGGCTCAGGGCTGTGGAAAGCAGAGGCTCCAGAGCAGCTTGTTTTTCATCCCTGCATCCCCCATCATCTGGGATCCTCCCACCCCACAGGCTCAGCTCTCAGGGACCTGTCACTGCTGATCCCCTCCCATTCAGCCCCCACAGACCTGCCTGATTTTTCCTACTCTACAACTCCCTCACTCCATCCCTGCCATTTTCCTGCTTTTCCCAAGTTAATCAGGGTTTTCCAAGCAGTTCAGCTTCACCCCAACCTTGGTCTCCATCACCTCACTGCACAAATGAACCCAGTCACCCTTCTGGCATGAGGCACAGGGCCAGCCCCTCCAAACCCCTGAGAGAGATGGAAGCCTTGGAAAGCTCTGGAGCTGGGAGTGCTGCTCCTTTACCCCCAGAGGTGTTCAGGGCCCTGGGAGGGGGGTTGCCAACTGCTCCCATGCTGGGAGGGATTCTTCTATCTCCTACAGGCAGGAATTGCTGCCTGGTCCTTGAGGAACACCCCAAACCTCCTTGGTCATGCATCAGGAGAGCCTGAGGTGGTCTTGGATCTTGTCTGCAGGAGGGATTCCTTCCTCTGCTGTCAGAGGAGGAATTCAGGGATGCTTTCACGAGCCTCCTCCATGGCTATGAACACTCTCTGCTTTGATATGGGAGGCACAGAAGTCTCATTTCACTCTGGGACATGGAGCAGAACAGCTCACCCCTGGGGCTGTCCTGCAGAGCAGGGAGGGGACAGTTCTCCCTCCTGCCAGGGGACGATGGTGGTGGCCCTTGCAGGGCCACACAGCTGCTCCCAGCCCGTGTGTGCTCACAGGAACAAGGCATTAGTGGCCTCTGCCTCAAACACAGGCAGCTGTGACCTTTGTGTCCCCGGGGGTGGCTGTTCCGACCTCGTGCTCTGCTTAATATTTGATGAGGAAAACCTCGGGCGCGGGGAGCCCGTGTCGGGAGCGCCACACGAGCCCCTGACCCGGGGTGGGGTTTCTGGGCTTTCCCACCCTCCTCCCTGCCAGTTCCTCCTCTGACATCAACACCAAGAGCCAGGACAGCACTTCAGCTCCCTGGGACGGTGGCAGGAGCTGGGAGGGTGGTGCTAAACCCTCCCTAACTGGGTGGACGAGGCGCTGACCCCTCTCCCTGTGCGTGTTCCCGCCGCAGGCATCATGTCCATTACGTTATCCCGTACGACGGGGACCAGTCGGTGGTGGATTCCTCGGAGAATTACTTTGTGACTGACAATGTAACCAAGCAGGAGATTGACCTGATGCTGGGACTTTTGCTGGGCTTTTGTATAAGCTGGTTTCTGGTGTGGATGGACGGGGTTCTCCACTACGCGGTGCGAGCCTGGAGAACCAGCCGACGGTATGGTAAGTGCAGCCCCACGGGCTCCTCCCCTGCCCTAAAAACCCCTTCCCCTGCCCTTGGAAGCTGGTGGAGAGGGAGGAGATCCACACTCCTGCCACGTTTATTCCACGTGGGTTTGGCACCAGTCTGGCCAGATGTATCCCAGCCCTTTGTATCCCAGGAGTTGGGCTCGATGATCCCTCGTGGGTCCCTTCCAGCTCAGGAGATTCCATGATTGTCTGACAGAAGCAGGAATGTTGATGTGGGAATACTGAGGATCCCAGCCCCGAGGGCTGTGCTTTGGAAAGGGTAATGTCTGTGTGGGTGCAAAGGGGTGTGGGATGCAAAGGAAGGTCTTTCCCCGTGGGTAGGATGGTGTTGGGGGTTCTGTGGCTGCTCATTTGGGCAGAATGTTTTCAGGTCAGGCCAAACTTAAAAAAACTGGATATTAAAAAAAAAAAGAAAATAGAAAAAAATCTGGATTTTTCCAATTTACAACCAGGCTTATACTGATGGAGAGCAGCCTTGTCTGGTTGTACAAACCTGTGACATTGTGATGACAGTGACAGACATCTGTGCTGTGTCACCCGAGGTTTCCCACCCTCACTGCTGTCCAGATGTGTCCAGATGTGGTGACATCAGCCCCACAGGGAAAAGTGTGGGGCAGACTAGTCAGTCTTTGGATCAGTAAGCTCAGTATCCTGAATTAACACCCTCAGAAGGACAAACAAATGCTCCTTCCCCTCCCCAGTTTGCTCCCTCAGCACGGACACCCCATGGACTTTAATCTTTGGGAGGGAAAAAAAAAAGACAGAAAAACTATTAATCCAGGGAATGGCTTGAAATTCCCTCACACTGTACCCATAAATCTCGGTGTCTCCAGCTCTGACTGATGGTGTCTGTGAAATTACAACTCAGAGGAAAAGGAGAGCGAGCAAGAGAAAGATTTATCTGCAAAATTCTAATTAGGGAAGTGGACTATCTTTCTCTGAAAACTCAGATAAAAATGATATTAATTTCCCATTAGTCTTCCCAAATCCTGTGTGAGCAGGCTCTGAGTCAGGACTCCCTCCAGGCTGTGGTGCTGCTGTTTCCCAGAGCAGAAGGATAACTGGTTTGCAGTGGGATCTCAGGCTCTGACCCCCCTGCTTTCCATCAGAGCACCTTTGCTGCGACCTCCTCGGGGCCCATGAGGTCAGGGCTGGCAAAGGGATGTTGTGGTGAGCAGGGGAACATTGTTCTCCAGAGCTGGAGCTGTGAGCTGCAGTTGTGTTATCACCATCTAACCCACCCCTCCTGAGTGGAGACCGCAGAGGGTTTTATTTTTAGTAATTAATTTAGTATTTAAGCTAATTGATCTCTTTTGTTTCGTTTTTTTTTTTCTTCCTCCCTGTCTATGCCTATTCTAAGCCTTTAAGAAGGGTTTGGCCAATGGTGCAACGTTCTTTTAGGTATTTCCTATTCATTCAAATCATCTGTGCAAATTAGCCATTTTAAAGGCAATAAGCAGAAAGGAATCCTATTTCTTTGTGGAACAAAGCTGAAATTTTCTTCTGAAGAGAGAAATGGTGCCTGTGAGTGCGAGACAGGGGTAGGGTAATACAAATTCTGTGCTGGTACAGGACGAGGAGCCCTCCCTGAAAAACACGAGCACCACTTAGCAGTGACTCAATGTCACATTGGGGCCTGATCAGCTTAAATTGTGGTCTGTTAGAATAACCTATAGCTCCTTCCTGATGGGAGGGATTGCCCAAAATAGCAAACCTTCTATGGAAGCTCAGACATCAGGCTGTAGCTGGTCAGAGCAGTCACAGCCACCTCATGGCAGCTGCAATCAGGGGCTCAGGCTCCTTTGGGATGGAAAAGACCCCTGAGATCATCGAGTCCAACCCTTTCCCAGCACGGTTGTTTAACTTCACACAGTCTGTCGTTCTCTGGGACTTCCCAGCTGCCCTTTGTGGGATTTCTGCGGGGAATCATCCCGAACTCTGGTGGAACAGGACGGCAGGGGGAGGTTTGGGGGCTCAGAGCTGAAGCACTGGGGGGACAAAATGACCCTGTCCAGGCTGCACGAGCTGAGGGGCAGAGAGTGACCCAGTGCTGTCACATCCACCTCGTCCCTGTCCCGTCCCGAAGGGAGGAACTCAGGGGTGGCTTCACCAAGGCTCACCTCACCTTCCTTCTCCCTTCTGCTCTTCCAGACAACTCCTGGTCTTGGATTCCCAAGTTTTGTAACTTGAAGGAGTTCAGGAAACGTCACCACAGGCAGTACGAGGAGGCGACCGGGAACATGGTGCACATCAAACAGAAGCTGTACCACAACGGGCACCCCAGCCCGCGGCACCTCTGAGGAAACCTCCCCCCCTCTGGAGACTGCAGGGAGCTTTTAAAAAAAAAACCACAAAAAAAACCCAAACAAACAGAAAAAAAAAGGACTTTGCTCTTCTTCCAGCCGGACCAGCTTCTGGTTTGCTCCTCCGTGGAAGCCCAGCCGAGGACACGATTTTACTGATCCATATCCCCGGGACGAGCCACGATGCACAACTAAAGCCAGTCCTGGATGCCACGCAGCCAAGACATTGCACTGTGTTCCACATTTTATTGTCAGACCCGTGTACATATGTAAAAAAAAAAAAAAAAAAAAAAAAAAAAAAAGCAGAGGAACTAAAACAAACAAACAACAAAAAAAAAAAAAAGAGAGAGAGAGAAAGAGAGAAAAGAGATTTGCATTATACTTTCAAGCCCCACCCCTCCCCCGAATTTTCCCCGGCATTCCCGGCTGTCCTGCACATCCAGCTGCCCCGAGGGGAATGTTGGCCGAGGGGATGGAGGTGGGACAGCACGAAGAAGATGCAGAGTGTCTCATCCAAGAGCTCAAGTCCCCCGTTTCTTTGGTCCTTTGGCTTGGTTTTGCTCTGCCCTGTCCCTTCTGTTGCTAAAATGGCTTTGGCTGGTCACAGGTTTGGATGGGCACTGCTGCCAGCGGGTTGGGAAGGCACAGTGTCCCTTTTTTGCTTTGGTTCATGTTTTGGGGAGCCGCTGTGGAGGGAAGGAAATCCTGGGAATGCGTAAGTGGTTTGTTGTTTGAGTTGCTGTACACACTGAAACCTGCCTTAAGCAATCCAGGGAATTTTAGTGCCAGGGGAACGGCCCCGTGAGGTGCCAGCCCGTGGGGCAGGGCTGGCCCTGCCTGGGTCACCCCTCTGGTGGGATCTTGGTGATGTCAGTGCTGTTGTTCTTCACTAGAGTTGGAGGGGAGGGAGGGAGGGAGGAGTGGATGGTGTTGGATCTGACTTTGCACCCCAATCATACCCCTCTGCTCATAAACACCCCCCACCCCTTCCCTGGGAGCAGAGGAGCTGCTCTCCCCCTCTTTTGGAGGGAGAGCCCGAGGCCCTGGTTAAACCACCCCAGGACCACTGGCAGTGCAGTGAGAGGGTCCTGTGAACAGTCTCACTCCCCCTGTACATGAACAAACACCTATTTCTCGTGCTCCTGCCCTGAGCTGAAGCAGCAGCAGGTCCAGGCTTGGCTTGAGGGACACAGAGATGTGGAACCTGAAGCCAAACTCCTCTACAGAGCCAAATGTCCCAAATGTCCCACGTTCACACGGTTGAATCAAAGCATGAGGATGCTCTGATGTGGTTTTGTCTTTGCTTCCCCCAGTCACATCTCAGATGTGGGTTTTAAGGTCTGAGTGTGACTGAGGGTCTGAAACCAACCTGCACACCCAGAGACCTCCCTCACCTGCAGGCAGAGGTGCCTGAAGGAGCTGATAAAGCCCCTGTGTGGTGGTGTCTGATCCCTGCAGTGGGTCCTGTTCTGCTGGTGGGGAGAGGGAGAATTGATTGAGAGGAATAAAGGAGGGAGGTGCCCCAAGAAGTTAAGGTGGTAGCCCCGAAATCACATCTCCTTCATTCACCATTTTGTATTGAGTGGGTTTGTGCTCAGATGGGGAAAACACCCAGGACAAAAGAAGATGAATATTGGCAGAAACTGCTGGTTTATTCCATGGATTCCCTGACACTGGCAGTGGCCTCCTGTTGTTTGATGGCAATATCTGTGGAGGGAGAAGGACACCATCACTCCAGCTCTTTCCTCCCTGCTTCAGCTTCTGTGTCTTGGGGTTTGGTTTTTTTTAATTTGTCATGCCCAGGGTCAGATCAGTTAATTACAAGCCCCAAGAGCCAAACATTCCCATTTCTCTGCCATTCCTACCTTTGCTATTCCCTAGGGCCTCTTGTCTTGGAGCCCCAGTTTCTGTCTGGGCCTAAAGAATTGCCTGGTCCATACTTATGTCTGTTTGACTGTCTGTCATTCCGGGTTCCCTGTGCCTGGAATGTCTGCAGCCACCTGTTGGGATCTAAGGAATGACTTTTTCCTGGAGCAGCTCCTTTCCAAGACACAGAGCTTTGCACCCTCCTTGTGCCATGGCACACACTGAAGGGGCAGGGAAGAGCAGGTCCTGTGTTATCAACATGGCTTTGGGTGGGACAACATTTTGTAGGGGAGAAAATTCCATCATGGTAAGGAGAATATCTCTGGAACTAGTTATGGGGGGGGGAAAAAAGCACTTTAAATAATCTTTCCACTTGGAGCCTCTCAAGAGAGAGACTTAAGGCAGTGACTTTGAATATGAAGCCTGATTCTGCCCTGCTCTAGCAGCTGACCTTGGTTGAAACATTATTAAATATGGGACAGCTGGAAAGAGTGAAGTGATGGCTCTCACTCATTAAGTCTGATCTGTCTGATCCTCAGCAAAATTTCAGAAGAGCCTGAGGCTCTGGAAGAAGGAGAAAAAAAAAATCCCACACAATACATAATCCCATTATTTAAGAACAGATTTTTTTTTTTTATTGGGCCTGTAGCTCTCACCTCATGAGCCTCTCTCTTGTTCACACAGTCAAAAAAAAAATAAATCAAAGATAATCTCAGTGCAATTAAATTTACTGGGAGTTATTTACTGGTCTTAAATGCACAGAAACCAGACATGTCCCAGCACAAACTAAACAAGTGGGGAGCTTACAAGATCTTTGATTTTCATCCTTAATAAACATGGAGTAAAATTCCTTCCCATGCAGGGAGGGAATTCTACTCCTGACCCACAAGATCTGCTGCATCTTCTGTGTAGGGGTGGTTTCAAACAGCTGAGCAGCTCCTGGTGTGAGGTGGGTTTTCCTCTGAGTCCTGGAAGCTGCTGTAGATTCCAGCCTATGGAGCAGAGGTGGGAATGTGCCTCTTTTGGGGCTGGATAACATCCCATAGAATCCATCCTATGGAGCAGAGGTGGGAATGTGCCTGTTGTGGGGCTGGATAAGGTCCCATAGAATCCATCCTATGGAGCAGAGATGGGAATGTGCCTGTTGTGGGGCTGGATAAGGTCCCTCACAGGTCAGGCTGCAGCAGTGAGAACCCCCTGCACAGGAACAGCTCAGTCCCACGGGATATTTAATGGCCAAAAAAAAGATAGACAAGGGCTGTTCCCCACAGCCACGTGTCTGCCATGTCCCCTCTCTGTGACAAAGCCCCCAGAGAAGCAGAAGGTGAGGGAGGTTTTGGGATATTGTGGAACCCCGGCACCATCACTGCCCTGCAGCCCCTGCTCTCCCTGCCTGCCACCATCACTGCTGTCCCTGTGCCACCCTCTCAGCTGATCCTGCTCCAGGGAGAGTCTTCCCAGCCCTGTCTGATGTGTGCTCTCTTGTCCCTCTGTCCCCGTGAGGTCGCTGCTCTTGCTGTCAGCTCAGTTGTCCGTGGTCCTGCTGTTCCTCTGTGCATGTGTCTGTTTTGCTTCTCTCTGCTGTGGGGGTGTTTTCTCCTCGTTTAATTGTCCCAGATGTACTAGTGTTGGCTTGTTTGTTGTTCTCTTGCCTCTGATCCAGTCTTCACACACACACACACACAATAACAGACCAAAAAACCAACCACAGATGGAAATAACAACAACAACAACAACAAAACCACCCAAACCCAGCGACAACCCCAGGCAAAAAGGGTTCTGTTGGGAGCAAGTGACTTCAGCATCAGGGAGTTGACAAAACAATGGCAGGAAGGGAGAAAAGGGGGTGCAGAGCTGGCAGCTGTGCCTGTGGTGGCAGCTCTGTGGGACACAGGAATGGGATCTGCAGGACAGGGGAGTGGGAAGTGTGGGCCACTCTCAGCACTCGCCCGCCAGATGCTTCGAGGGAGGCTCTGATGGTGGTGGTGGTGGTGGGGTTTGTGGGCTATTTTTAGAGCAGAGGCAGAGCTTAAAACTGTGCCTGTCGATCCTCCAGAGCTGGGATTGGCACTGGGAATGTTCTCCTGCGTTTTTGGTGTGAGGAGCCCAGATCTGACTGCCTGCACACCCCATGGGTGTGTGCTGGGAGTTGGGAGCTGCTGCAAAGGGGAGGAGTGGAAAGGCAGGTGGAGAAAAGCAGGGGATTGAGAAATCCATTGCATCAACCAGTAGCTCCTTTTAAAAATCAAATCCTGTCCTCAGTACCAGCACTGCTGAATAAACCCCTTTTGCCCGTAAAAACAACAAGAAGGACCCTTCCTCTTTGAGGAACAGTTTGGGAAGGCGTCTCCTGTGATTCCATCCATCCATCCATCCATCCATCCATCCATCCATCTGTCCACTGTGCCCTCTTACTGCTCAGCCAGCTCTTGAGCCAGCCAGGGACACATCAACTGGCCCATCCTGGCTGAAGTACCTGGCAGCACTTGATCCATAATCAGTCAAAGACCAGGAGGGAGCCTGGAATGTGTGTCCCAGGCATTGACAGCAGGGTGGGGTGGTTTTAGTTACTCTCACTGCTATTCTACCTCATTTTCTGGTTGTGCTCAGCTGGGAGAAGAGAATCCCTGATCAAAAGGGGTATAAACACAGCCACTAAGGTGATTAAGGGACTGGAGCATCCCTTCTGTGAGGGAAGGCTGGGAAAGCTGGGGCTGTTCAGCCTGAGGAAGAGAAGGCACATAAATACCCGGAGGGAGGGTGCAAAGAAGGCAGAGCCAGGCTTTTTAAGTGGTGCACCAGAGGCAGAGGGCAAAACATGAAACATGGGGGGATCTACTTGAACATCATGAATCTCTTTTTTTACTGGGAGGGTGGCTGAGCACTGGGACAAGTTGCCAGAGAAGATGTGGAGTCTCTGTCCTTGGAGGCAGTCAAAAGCCAGCTGGAGGTGGTTCTCAGGCAGCCTGCTCTGGGGGGCTGTGCTTGAGCAGGAGAATTGGACTAAATGAATTCCAGAGGTCCCTTCCAGGCCAAACCATTCCGTGAAAAAAAAAAAAAGCCATGCAAGAGGTGCCAGGTGAGCTGGGGCTGAAGAGACCCAGAGCTGGTGGTTGAAGCCCACAGCAGGCAGTGCAGACACAAACACCAACAGCCTTTGCTTACCTTGGATAAGGTCTAGGTGAGCCCAGGCAGGAGAAATCCCTGACCCAAGGTCATTCCCCAGCTTGGGAGAAGGCACATGGTGAAAAGAGGGGGATGTTCACCTTCCAGAGTGCCCTGCAGGAGGTGGAGGTTGGCAGGGGATCAGTGGCACAGGGAGCTCAGTCTCATTCCAGATCTCACCCCAGCAGCATTTAATATTCAGTGTGGCAGTGATGGAGGGTGTGG